TCCACCAAGACCCTCAGCACAGTGACCCAAGTCCCCGTCGCTAAGCGAATAGTGACGGTGTCACTCAACCGTGCTTCCAGCGCTTCAGTATACAACTGACTTCCCTCGATCGTGGAGTGCCGAGCGTAATTGCCCGACGCCCCGGAATCGATAAGGTTTCTTCATGGCTTATCAGAGCCCTTCACGGTCGCTTTTACGAACAGCAAGCCCGGCTTGCACAGACATTTCCGTGTTTAAGAGGATGTAGATCTTCGGGCTGGGCTCTGCTGCCTATACCTCTTTTAGAGCCAACAGAACTCAGTTCTCTCCCAGTAGGGTGCCCCGCGCCTTCTGGGTGTTCGCTTTCCCCGCGTCAAATCATACTAGTTTGAAGTGTAACGTCGTTTCGACGAATCTTTACGCGCCTTGCGCAAGGGACAACCAACCCGAAGGTGATGGGTGTTTCCATAGACAAAAGGTGTTTACACGCTGCTCAGCAGCTCGGAGCTCCCCCTCTACCTTCTCAGCTATGCATAGATTCATTGGCTCAGACCCACTTGATGAGCTCTAAGGGTGTGCATTCCAACCAAGTCGTGCCGACTTACAGCTGAATTTGGCATTCAATACCACATTCACCGCTTCTTTAAAAGAAGACGGATGCACACAGAAGGCTTCCATTCTGGCCACGCCAGTACGAAGGCCCTTCAAAAAGACGGTCACTGCAACCGCCTCGGGGAGAGTATCTGCCGTCATCCTGGCAATGAGAGTTCTCAACTCTTGGCCAAAGCCTTCTTGTCCTGCCGGGCAGCAAGGAAATGCGATCGCACGCCATATGCCTGATTAGGCGGCGCGAACACTCGCAAAATCTTACGCTTCAGCTCTTTCTGGGAGGGAAACGCAGCTTCAACCGAAGCGTTACACGTTAGTGCTCATTCTCGCGCTCGGCCTCCGAGCTAGCAGATAGCTAGCGCCACGCGCTGTTGCTTGTTTTGGAGCATGGCGGATGCCATAGCCATCTCGGCTTCTCTAGTCCAGAGCAAGATATTCTCTTATCCTTACCCTCAAGCTCTTAACGCTGACCATGAGCGACCTGGGTCGGGAGGAATCATCCGTCGTCGACGGTGGCGTCATAGAAGCAGTCGACGCTGACAACTTCTGCTGTAAGTGATCTAACATAGCATTTATATAACTTGAAAGCGCCTCTAGGCGTACGCTTATGGCCTCGGGCCCTTCCACAGCAAGGTGCTCCACGCCCTCAGGGTCCAGCAGGGACATCAGCTTATTAAGCCCGTCCTACATACCATGGGAAAATTGGAGTACTCCTCCATCCTCACAGAGGATCAGTCATAACGACTCGGGCGTAGATTAACT